CCAGCAGCAGCAGCAGCAGCAGCAGCAGCAGCAGCAGCAGCAGCAGCAGCAGCAGCAGCAGCAGCAGCAGCAGCAGCAGCAGCACCAGGTTCTTTTCTGCGGCTGGGAGCAGCAGACAGGAGCTAAATAGGCAGCAAGTGCATCAAGCCAAACATAAATTGCATGCGAAGGGTCGCCAGGCACTGGCAAGCCCCAAATGCAGCTGCATGCATGCAGCCCCACTCCCCCGCTGCTGCTGCTGCTGCTGCTGCTGCTGCTGCTGCTGCTGCTGCTGCTGGCGCTGCTGCGACCGCTGCTGGCCATGGTCCTGTTGCTCGGGCTTGGGGTTGAATTGGCGCTGTTGCAACTGTTGCTGCTGCTGTTGCTGCTGCTGTTGCTGCTGCTGCTGTTGTTGTTGCTGCTGCTGCTGTTGCTGCTGCTGCAGCAGAATACTCTCGCGATCTCTACGACGCTGCGGTGTCTAGACACCTCAATGTCTCGCACACGAGGGAGGAACTGCAGCAGCTCCCGCTGCTGCCCTTTTGGCAGCAGCAACGAAGGCTGCAGCAGCAACCTGAAGCAGCAGCAGCAGCAGCAGCAGCAGCAGAGACTGGCGGCGCTGCTGCACCTCGTGCTGGTCGAATACCACAAGTGACAGCAGCAGCAACAAGGGAAGCTGCAGCAGCAGCTGCAGCAGCAGCTGCAGCAGCAGCTGCAGCAGCAGCCACAGCAGCAGCAGCAGCAGCAGCAACAGCAGCAAGGGCTTCTGCCTCACTTTTCTATTTCGGGACGGAGACGCCTCAGAGCAAAGAAATATGCATAGTCCTCGCCGTCTTTTCCCTGTTGCTGCTGCTGCTGTTGCTGCTGTTGCTGCTGCTGTTGCTGCTGCTGTTGCTGCTGTTGCTGCTGTTGCTGCTGTTGCTGCTGCTGTGGCAGCTGCTGCTCCACATCCCATACGTCCGCCTCCTCTTCGCCACCTCCTTTTGCTGGCGACTGCTGCAGCGTCCGCTGCTGCTGCTGCTGCTGCTGCTGCTGTTGCTGCTGCTGCTGTTGCTGCTGCACTGGGGCGCGATATATAAATCCCCTGGCTTCCAGGGCTCGCCACAGAGCAGCAGCAACTGCAGCATGCGGCGGTAAGTCGTGTTTCTTTTGCTGCTGCTGCTGCTGCTGTTGCTGCAGCCGTTGCTGCTGCTGCTGCTGCAGAGTGTGTGCCGGCTGCGGGCTCTGCTGCTGCTGCTGCAGCAAATGGGCCAGGCTTGGGGTGTACGTACAGCAGGTTCGAGTGGCTGCTGCTGTCTCTACAAACCAACTGCAGCAAATATGAGTTTGCTGCAGCAGCTGCTGCGCCTGCAGCGACAGAAGAGAGACAAACCACTTGACTGGCACGCAGCAGGGGATGCTGCTGCTGCCTCCAGCAGCAGCAGCAGCAGCTGCTGCTGCTGCTGCTGCTGCTCCGGAGGAGTCGCCCTGAGCAGCAGCTGCAGCAGCCGCTGCAGAGAAATGAGCAGCAGCTAGCTGCTGCTGCTGCTGCTGCGGCAGCTGCAGCCACCAGCAGCGCGCAGCCTCAAGCACTTTCACTCCGTGCTGGTCGCTGCCGCACAGCAGCAAATAGTCTTTTGCTGCTGCTTCATTTGCTGCTGCTGCTGCTGCTGCTTCAGCTGCTGCTGCTGCTGCTGCTTCAGCTGCTGCTGCTGCTGCTGCTGCTGTATGTCCTGCAGCTGCCACGGATCCCGCTGCTGCTGCAGTCGCTCCCGGGAATGCCCGGCCAGGCCTTGTTGTTGCTGCTGCTGCTGTTGAAGCTGCTGCTGCTGCTGCAGCAGCAGCAGATTCAGGGGTAGCAGCAGCAGCAAAGAGACTAAGGGCAGCAGCAGCAGCATCAGCGAGCACTGCGCTGTACAAATGGCCCAAGTGCAGACAGCCGTTGCTGTAGAAGAGAGGAGCTGTTACGTAGACCTTCTCTGCAGCAGCAGCAGCAGCAGCAGCTGCTGCTGCTGCTGCTGCTGAGGCAGTGCTGCAGCTGCTACCTCCAGCAGTTGCTGCAGCAGATCCTGTGGCTGCTGCAGCAGAAAGCACTGTGCTGCTGAAGTTGCAGCATAACTTGCTGCTGCTTGGGAAGAGAAAGGCGCCATGATTAGTCCTAACCTGGCTGCTGCGGCGCCTGCTGCTGCTGCTGCACGTGCTGCTGCTGCTGCTGCACGTGCTGCTGCTGCTGCTGCTGCTGCTGCGCTTGCTGCCGTTCCTGCTTATGTAGCGAGAGCCCTGCGGCCGCAGCGGTGGAGCGAAAGAGAGCGAGAAGCTGCTGCTGCTGTGGCTGGCGCCTCCACAGGTGTAGCAGCAGCAGCAGCAGCAGCAGCAGCAGCAAATGATAAGGAGGAATGGCAGCAGCAGGGGCCACTGGAGAGGCCTCGGCGGCACAACGCAGCCCATTGATCTCCCCAAGAGCAGCAGCAGCAGCAGCAGGTGCTGCTGCTGCTGCTAGCGCTGCATCGTTACTTCCTAGCGCTGCAGTGACTGCTGTGCAGCAGCAGCAGCAGCAGCAGCAGCAGCAGCAGCAGACTGGCAAAGGCGGTGAGGCCTCGAGTGCCTCGGCAGCTAATGCTGCACTGAGCAGAAGCTAGAGGTTCATGTACTTTGTTTCAGTGGCAGCTAAAAAGAAAAATTGTTTTATTGTTGCTGCTGGATTTGTTCTTGCTGCTGCTGCTGCTGCATTTTTGCTGCTGCTGCTGCTGTCGGCTGCTCCCAGCAGCCGAAGGGCCCCCCAGAGCCGCACGAGCAGCAGCAGAACAGCAGCAGCAGCAGCAGCAGCAGCAGCAGCCGTAGCAGTGCAACGCGCAGCGCCACCTCGAGAAAATATGTTAGCAGCAGACTGCTGCATTTACCTTTTAAGCCTCGCGACAGTTGCGTGACGCAGCAGCAGCAGCAGCAGCAGCAGCAGCAGCAGCAGCAGGTACTGCTGCTGCAGAAGGCGGCAGCGCCTGGTTCCCTACGCTCCCCCTTTGAATATACAGAGCAGCAGCAGCAGCAGCACTGCACATCTCAAACTGTGGCGCAGCAGCAACAACACCAGCAGCAACGGCAGCAGCAGCAGCAGCAGCAGCAGCAGCAGCCGGCAGAGACCGAGACACACGCAAGAGTCAACGAGCAGCAGCAACACAGCAGCTGCTGCCTAGCAGCAAATTTAAGCTGAGATCCGCGATAGAAACAGCAGAAGCAGAATCAGCAGCAACGGCGGCGGAGAGAGACGCAGCAGCAGCAGCAGCAGCAGCAGCAGCAGCAGCAAACGCGAAGCAGCAAAGCCATCGCCAGCAACTGCAGCAGCAGCAAAGTCGAAGCTCTTCCCCGGCTGACTGCAGCAGGAGCCCATTGCTGCTGCAGGAGGATTGCACGCTGCTGCGACGGGCCCTGCAGCAGCAACCCAGCAGCAGCAGCAAAGCAGCAGCAGCAGAAGCAAAGCAGCAGCAGCAGCAGCAGCAGCAGCAGCACAATGTGGATTTCTTCCTTCGTCTCCTCAGTTCTTAGGGACGATGACCTTTCTGAGCATGAGGAGGAAGAGCAGCAGCAGCAGCAGCAACAGCAGCAGCAGCAGCAGCAGAACCAGCACCAGCAGCAGCAGCAAACTGCAGAGAGAGCGAATACGCCCGTACAAGGAAGTGGAGCAGCAGCAGCAGCAACAGGCTCGATATCGCCGACGTCAACTGCAACAGCAGCAGCAGCAGCAGCAGCAGCAGCAGCAGCAGGGGGTCCAGGGCAATTCAGCTACGCCTCGCTGCTGCAGCTGGTGGAGCGGCAGCAGCAGCTGCTGCAGCGAGAGGCGCAGGAGAAGCAGCGGAGGGAGCAGCAGACAAAAGATCTAGAGCGCACTGTGCAGCTTCTGCAGCAAGAGCTGCAGCAGCAGCGACTGCAGCAGCAGCAGCAGCAGCAGCAGCAGCAGCAAAGCATACAGCCTAAAGTCGACAGCGCCCCCTTCGCAGATGATTGGGGAGCTTCAGCAGGCGCTGCAGAGGAAGAGCAGCAGCAGCAGAAGCAACAGCAGCAGCAGCAGAAGCAGGAGCAGAGAGAATGGCAGCAGCAACAGTTGCTGCTGCAGCAGCAGCAAGACAAGCTGCAGCAGCAGGAGCAGGTTATACAGCGTCAGCAGCAGCAGTTGGAGCAGGCTCAGCAGCAGCAGCAGCAGCAAGTGCAGCGAAGCGCTGAGGAGCTCTCTTTGCTGCAGATTCGCATTGAGCAGCTGCAGCAGGAACTGCAGCAGCAGCAGCAGCATGGGCAGAAGCAGCACGTGCAGCAGCAGCAACATGAAGCGACCCAGCAGCAAAGAGAGCAGCAGCAAGAAGTCCAGCAGCAGCTACAGCAGCAGCTGCAGGAGCAGCAACAGCAGCAGCTCGAGCTTCAGCAGCAGCTGCAACAGCAGCTCCAGCAGCAGCAGCAATATGAGCGCTCGCTGCAAGACAAACAGCTTCAAGTTGAGCAGCTACAGCAGCAGCAGCAGCAGCAGCTGCAGCAGCAGCAAGCGACCGAAGAGGAATTGCTGTCCCTGCAGCGAAGCAACCAGGAGCTGAAGCAGGAGCTTTTGCTGCAGCGCGAGCAGCAGCAGCAGCTGCAGCAGCAGCAGCAGCAGCAGCAGCAGCAGGCAGAAGAGCTTGCGGCGCGCAATCGCGACCTCGAGACACTGCTGCAGCAGCAGAAAGAAAAAGTGACGAACTTGGAGGAAGCCCTTGAGCAGCAGCAGCAGCAGCAGCAGCAGCAGCAAGAATGGGGGCCGGAGCGGGAAAAGCTGCAGCAGCAGCACAAGGAGCAGCTGCAGCAGCAGCAGCACCGCTACGAAGAAGTGCTGCAGCAGCAGCAGCAAGAAAGGCAAGCAGAAGTGGCGGTGCTGCAGCAGAGCCTTGCAGAGCAGCAAAGGCTGCAGCAGCAAGACAAGCAGCAACTCGAGCTGCTGCAGCTGCAGCTGCAGCAGCAACAGCGGCAGCACCTAGATTTGCTGCAGCAGCAGCAAGAACAGCACAGCCAGGAAGTCGCCACTTTGCAGCAGCGTCTGCAGCAGCTGCAGCAGCAACTGCAGCAGCAGCAGCAGCAGCACGCTGCTGCTCTCCAGCCAGTCGAGGAGCTGCAGCGGCGGCTGCAGCATGCTGAGCAGCAACGGGACAACCTGCAGCAGCAGGCCCACCAGCAGCAGCAGCAGCTGCTGCTGCTGCTAGAAGAGCAGCAGAAGCTTCAGGAGATTCAGCAGCAGCGGGAGCAGCAAGAAAGGAAGCTGCGAGAGCAGCAGCAGGAGCAGCAGCAGCAAATGGCAGAGGAGCTGCAGCAGCTGGAGAGTGAGCGCAAAGCACTGCAGCACGAGCTGCAGCTGCTTGCTGCTGATGTGGGGCAGCAGCAGCAGCAAGTGCTGCTGCCGCTGCAGGTGCAGCTGCAGCAGCTTAGACAACACCGAAGCCAAGCAGCTTCTGAGAAGGATTTGCTGCTGCAGCAGCTGCAGCAGCGGGAGCAGCAGCTTGTCGAGCAGCTGCAGCAGCTGCAGGAAAAGGAGCAGCAGCACACCGAACAGCTGCAGCAGCAGCAGCGCGAATTCCAAAGTCAGCTGCAGCAGCAGCAGCAAGAGCTGGAGCGCCTGCAGCAGGAACTGCAGCAGGAACGATTGCAGCAGCAGCAGCTGCAGACGCAGCAGCCGAGGCATATCGGGGGGGAAGCGGCAGATGTCGAACAGCAGCAGGAGCAGCAGCAACAGCAGCAACAGCAGCAGCAACAGCAGCAGGAGCTGCAGCAACAGCGGGTGCTGCTGGAACAGCAGCAGCAGCAGCTGCATCTGCTCGAGGAGCTGCTGGAGGACCGTGATGATGAAATAAGGGAGCTGCAGCGGCAAGCTGAGCAGCAGCAGCAGCAACAGCAGCAGCAGCAGCAGCAGCAGCAGGGCCACGCGGAGCACGACAGAATGGTTGCAGCAGCATCAGCAGCAGCAACGGATGCAGCAGCAGCAGCAGCAGCAAATGCAGCGCAGCAAGAAACGACGCTCCTTCATCAGCAGCTGGAGGAGCGGCTGCAGTGCCTCTCTGAGCAGTGCGAGCAGCAGCAGCAGCAAATTCAGCAGCAGCGGCAGCAGATACAGGAGCAGCAGCAGCTGCTGCTGCTGCAGCACAACCCCCCACAAACCAATGGTGTATGTACACCTCGGCAGGAGGACCTGCAGCGCCAGCTGGCAGCAGAACGAAGGCGGACTGTGGAGTTGGAGGGGCTGCTGCGAGAGCAGCAGCAGCAGCAGCAGCAGCAGCAGCAGCAGCAGCAGCAGCTGCAGCAGCAGCAGCAAGCTCACGAGTGGGAGCAGCAGCTGCACCAGCAGCAGCAACTCGAGGAGGGCCTGCGACAGCAGGGAGAGCGAAGTCCGCAGCAAGGGCCTGAATGGCCTGAACAGCAGCAGCAGCAGCAGCAGCAGCAGCAAGCGCAGCAGCTGCTGCAGCAGCAAGTTGAGGAGCTAAGGGCTGAAGTGCAGCGTCTCGAGCAAGAGCGGGACCTGATGCAGCAGCAGCAAGAGGCAGCATCTCTGCAGCAAGAGCAGCAACAGCAGCAGCAGCAGCAGCAGCAGCAGCAGACGCAAGCACAAGAGCAGCTGCAGCAAGCGTTCGCAACTATGGAGCAGCAGCTGGAACTGCTGCAGCAACAGCTGGAGGCAGAGCAGCAGCAGCACTCCGAAACTAGGCAGTCTCTTGAGCAGCAGCTGCAGCAGCAGCAGCAGCAACAGCAACAAACGGAGGACAAGCTAGGGGAAGCTCTCGCAAAGCTTGAGCAGCAGCTCCAGCAGCAGCAACAGCAGCAGCAGCAGCAAGAACAAACTGAGGGCAAGCTAGAGGAAGCTCTCGCGAAGCTTGAGCAGCAGCTGCAGCAGCAACAAGAGCAGCAGCAGCAGCTGCTGCAGAAGGAACAGCAGATGCAGCAGCAGCAGAATCGCCACACAGAGGAATTGCGCAAGAGGGACTCGCAGGTGCAGCAACTGCAGCAGCAACAGCAGCAGCAACAGCAGCAGCAGCAACAAACTATTCAGCATCTGCAGCAACAGCTGCAGAGGCAAGCCGCTCAGGCCGCAGAGGACATTGCTGCAGCGCAGCAGCGGGAGAAGGCAGCAGCAGCAGCAGCTGCTGCTGCTGCTTCTCGTGTAGATGCAGCTGCCGCTGCTGCGTCTGCTGCAGCAGAAGCAAGCAGTGCAGCAGTGGAGGCCTTCCAGCAGGTGGCGCAGCATGTCCCGCAGCAGCAGCAGCAGCAGCAGCAGCAGCAGCTAAGTGCCCCGCCTGCCGGCGGAGTAGACGCTGCCGTTTTTGCTTCGTGTGAGCATTTGCTGCTGCTGCTTCTGCTTTTGCTGCTGCTGCTGCTGCTGCGGCTTCGGGGGCGCTGTTGTGGCTGTTGCTGCTGCTGCTGCAGCAGGAAGATCTTCTGTGTCTTGCTTTTGCAGTGTCCGCGACGTATGAAGAGGAGAAGCAGCTGCTGCTGCAGCAGCTGGAGCAGCAGCAGCAAAGGGCAGAGCTGCTGCTGCAGCAGCGGCAGCAGCAGGAAGCCTGTGCTGCGCTCCGTGAGCGGGAGCTGGTTTGCCGGCTGCAGCAAATGAGAGGTACGTTTGCTGCTGCTGCCTGCCTCCTCTCTGTATGCAGCAGCAGCAGCAGCAGCAGCAGCGGCAGCAGCAGCAAAGACTCCCAACTGACGCTGCTGCTGCTGCTGCTGCTGCTTCTGCTGCTGCTGCTCAGGCATAGCGCTGGCGGCGGCGCAGGAGACTGGGGTGTTGGGCGTGCAGCTAAAGCTGCTGTCAGGGGCCCCGCAGCAGCAGCAGCAGCAGCAGCAGCAGCAGCAGCAGCAGCAGCAAGACCAGATGCTCCAGAAGCAGAATGGCCAGCAGAAATGTGAAAGGTTCTCGGTTAACAGTGATATTAGCGTCAGGTAACGAGCCGCTACTGTTGCTGCTGCTGCTGCTGCTGCTGCTGCTGCTGCTGCTGCTGCAGATTGTGCATCTCTCCTTCCGCAGCTCGTGCTTTAACCAGTGCTGCAAGGGAGCCAGTGCATTTGCTGCTGCTAATTGCGTTGCCGCTGCATCAGTTGCTGCGGCAGCTGCTCACGTGCTGCTGCTGCTGCTGCAGCTGCCGCTGCTGCTGCTGCTGCTGCTGTGGGGCGCTTGAGCAGGTTAGCAGCAGAAGGGGCCGTAGAAGAAGCCAAGGCGCTGCTGGAAAAGTGCTCTCAGAAAATTGAGGAGACTTCTGTACGTTTTTGCTGCAGCAGCAGCAGCAGTTGCTGCTGCTGCTGCTGCTGCTGCTGTTGCTGCTGTTGCTGCTGTTGCTGGTGTTCTAGTGTTGATCCCTGTCGCGGCACTAGTGACGCTGTTGCTGCTGCTGCTGCTGATGTTGTTGCTTCATGCGGTGCTGCTGCTGCTGCTGCTGCTGCGGCCTTGCAGGTTCACACGGCAGCCTCGCTGCAAGATTTGCAGCAGCAGAAGCAGCAGCTGCTGGAGGCCAAGCAACAGCTTGAACAGTGAGCAGCAACAGCAGCAGCAGCAGCAGCAACAGCAGCAGCAACAACAGCAGCAGCAAATTCACACCACTGCCCAGAGGCCCTGTAGAGCTCCAAGCAGATCCTTTGGCGGCAGCAATAGCAGTATCACCAAGGGCAGCAGCAGCAGCAGCAGCAGCAGCAGCAAAAGCCGGAGCAGCAGCAAAAGCAGCAGGCCTTTTTGGAATTTGTGCTGTCTTTGTGTTGCAGCTCTTTGAAGGATGCGCAGCAGCAGCTCCAGACAAAAGAAGCAGCAGCAGCAGCGCACGCAGCAGCGAGGGCGAATGCTGCTGTTGCTGCAGCAGCAGCAGCAACAGCAGAACTGCACCGGCAGCAAATGTCCACCAAGACGCAGCAGCTCGAGAAGGGAGCTGCTGCTGCTGCGATAAAGGAGGCGGAAAAGTTTTTGAGTGCAGCAGCAGCAGCAGCAGCAGCAGCAGCACACGCATCGGCAGATGCAGCAACAGCTCTTGCTGCTGCGGGATGCAGCTCAGGCCCTTCCCTCTCATCCTCTGAAGCAGCTCAGCAGCAGCAGCAGCAGCAACAGCAGCAGCAGCAGCAGCTCGTGAAGCAGCAGCAGCAGCAGCAGCAGGGAAGCCAGTTCGGTATGGCGAAATCCCCGTTGCAGCACCTTGTGCAGAGTCCACCTGAGCAGCAGCAGCAAACACAGCAGCAGCAAATACAGCAGCAGCAAATGCGGCAGCAGCAAGTAGAGCAGCAGCAAACGCAACAGCAGCAACTGCAGCAGAAACAGACACAAGACGCAGACTCGGGTGCAGGTGGCTGGGAAGACGATGACTGGCTTAGTGACTTGGAAGAAGAGCAGCAGCAGCAGCAGCAGCAGCAGCAGCAGCAGCAGCAGCAGCAGCAGCGACAGAGAGAGCAGCACCAGCAGCAGCAGCAGCAGCAGCCGCAGAAAGAGCAGCAGCAGCAAGACTGGCAACAGCAGCAGCATGACAAGTGGCAACAGGAGGAAAGAAAGCAGCAGCAGCAAGAACAGCAGCAGCAACACCTACTGCAACAGCAGCAGCAGCAGCAGCAACAGCAGCAGCAGCAAATCCACCAAGCAGCAGCAGGATGGGATGCCGATGAGGACTGGGAAGCGGACTTGGTGGAGGAGCGTCAGCAGCAGCAGCAGGATCTTGCAGAACAGCAGCAGCGACGGCAGATGCTGCAGCAGCATCAGCAGGAACAGCAGCAGGAGCTGCAGCAGGAGCTGCAGCAGCAGCAGCAGCAGCAGCAAAGCCCCAAGGTTGCTGAGGGGTGGGATGAAGATGACGTGTTTGGAGATGAATGGGGTGACAGCTTCCAGCAGCAGCAGCAGCAGCAGCAGCAGCAGCAGCAGCAGCAAGAACAACAACAGGGGGAGCAACGGCAGCAGGAAAGCCTGAAGGAGCTGCAGCGGCAGCAGCAGCAAGAAAATCTGCTGCGGCACCAGCCATCTCAACAAATGGAACGACAGACAGCTCAGCAACTGCAGCAGCAGCAGCAGCAGCAACAGCAGCAACAGCAGCAGCAGCAGCAAAAAGAGCAGCTACAAGCTGGTGAAGGGCTTAGCCCCTCTTATGCCTTCACTTACGGGAATCAGGTTCATCAGGATCAGCCGCTGCAGCAGCGAGAACTGCAGCAGCAGCAGCAAGAACTGCAGCAGCAGCAAGGACTGCAGCAGCAGCAAGAAAAGCAGCAGCAGCAAGAACAGCAGCGGCAAACAATGCATGGAGAATCACCTGCGGCCAAGTCAAGTGATTGGGACTCTTACGGGGATTGGGGCAGCGAAGTGATAGCAGAGCAGCAGCAACAGGAAGAGCAGCAGCAGCAGCAGCAGCAGCAGCAGCAGCAACAGCAGCAGCAGCAGCACCCAGAGTCCGTGAAGGATTTGAGCGGTCCCGGTGGAGACCCAGTCATGTCCCTGCAGCTGCAGCAGCAGCAGCAAAAGAAGCCGGATTGGCAGCGTGTGCCTGGCGGACCCCACACAGTGCATCAGCAGCAGCAGCAACAGCAGCAGCAGCAGCAGCAACTGCAGCAGCAGCGGCCGCAGCAACAGCAGCAGCAGCAGCAGTGGGGAGGAGCAGAGCCATGGGATATCGACTTTCAAATCAATAGACTCGCAGATGGCCTTTCCAGGCCGGCTGCGCCTTCTGAAGCTTCACCAGCAGCAGCAGCAGCAGCAGCAGCAGCGCCAGCAGCAGCAGCAGCAGCAGCAGCAGCGACAGCAGCATCACCTGCCGCCTTGGCTGCAGCTAATGCGCTAAGCAAGGATGATCTGCTGGCTCCCACCCCAGCCCCTCTCCCTGTGTCTGCCGCAGCAGGACAAGCAGCAGCAGCAGCAGCAGCAGCAGCAGCAGCAGCAGCAGCAGCAGAAGGCGCTGCTGCTGCAGCGCCGCCTGCTGCTGCAGCTTCACCTGCAGCAGCAGCAGCATCTGAAGAGGAGGACTTGGGCTTTGAGGATGACTGGGGCGCTTTGGCAGCACAGATAGACACGAAGGTGCCAGCAGCAGCTGCTGCTGCAGCAAGGCCACAGTCAGTGGCAGCAGCAGCTGCTGCAGCAGCGGCGCAGTCAGCAGCACGTGCTGCAGCAAGTCCTGCAGCAGCGAGCCCTGCTGCAGCAGCAGCAACATCATTCGATGATGAGGATTTAGACTTTGAAGACCATTGGGGAGCCCCAGCAACTGGAGTAGACGAAGCAGCAGCAGCAGCAGCAGCAGCAGCAGCAGCAGCAGCAGCAGCAGCACCTGCTGCAGTGACATCACCTGCTGCTGCAGCCCCACTGGCCCCAGCAGAACCTGCTGCAGCGACACCAGCTGCTGCACCTGCGGCAGAAGCACCTGCAGCAGCAGCAGCAGCAGCAGCAGCAGGCGAAGAAGAATTCAAAGATAAGCGGGGAGCCGTAGAAGCTGCCCTATTAGCAGCAGCTCCTGCAGCAGCAGCAACACCTCTTGTAAAAGCTCAACAAGCAGCAGCTGCAGCAACAGCAGCAGCAGCAGGAGCAGCAGCAGCAGGAGCAGCAGCAGCAGGAGCAGCAGCAGCGTTTGATGAAGAGGGTCTCGACTTTGATGATGACTGGGGAGCAGCAGCAGCACACGAAGACGCAGACTCACCTTCAGCAGCAGCAGCTGCTGCAGCAGCACCTGAACAAGCAGCAGCAGCAGCAGCAGCAGGAGCTGCTGCTGCTGCTGCTGCTGCTGCTGCAGCATCTGACGAAGACGATTTAGACTTCAAGGATGATTGGGGGGTATCAGCAGCACAGGCAGAATCAAGCTCAGCAGCAGCAGCAGCTGCTGCAGCGACGCCGCCGTCAGCAGCAGCAGAAGTACGAGCTGCAGCAGCAGCTGAACCAGCAGCAGCGGCAGCAGCTGAACCAGCAGCAGCAGCAGCAGCTGAACCAGAAGCAGCAGCAGCAGCAACTGAAGGAGATGACTTCGATTTGAAAGATGATTGGGGCCCCCCAACAGCACAGTTAGACATAAAGTCACCAGCGCTTGCTGCTGCTGCAGCTACACCGCCATCAACAGCAGCAGCAGCAGCAGCAGCAGCAGCAGCAGCAGCGTTTGAAGAAGACGATTTGGACTTCAAGGATGATTGGGGAGCCCCAACAGAACAGGTAGAGGCAGCTTCAGTAGCAGCAGCAGCTGCAGCAGGAACATCGCCATCAGCAGCAAAAGCTGCAGCGAGCCCTGCTGCAGCGAGCCCAGCAGCAGCAGCAGCAGCAGCAGCAGCAGCAGCAGCACCATATGATGAAGAGGATTTGGACTTCCAGGATGACTGGGGGTCCCCAGCAGCTGCAGTAGACAAAGCAGCAGCAGCAACAGCAGCAGCAGTGGCAGCAGCAGCACCTATTATAGTGGCAGCACCTGCAGCAGCAGCAGCAGATCACTTGTCCATAAATGATGGTTGGAGAGCCTCAGCAGCAAATACGAAAGCAGCAACAGCAGCAGCTGCAGCACGACAGGCAGCAGCAGCAGCTACTAGATCGAATGTGCTCGGACCCGGAGGAGCTGCTTGTCCAGCAGCAGCAGCAGCAGCGCCTGCTGCTGCTGCAGCACCTGCTGCTGCTGCTGCAGCACCTGCTGCTCGTGGAGAAGAGGACCTTGAGTTTGCGCTGGATGACTCTTGGGCAGGTGAAGGCTTTGAAATTCCCACAGACGTTCTTGCAGCACCTGCAGCAGCAGCAGCAGCAGCGACAGCAGCTACAGCAGCAGCAGCAGCAGCAGCAACAACAGCAGCAGCAGCAGCAGGCCAAACGCCACCGTCGACGGCAGCATTTGCAAACGAGCAGCAGCAGGGCCACCTACACCAGCAGCAGCAGCAGCAGCTGCAGCTGCAGCAGCAGCAGCAGCTTGTTGGCTGCTGCTGCATTTAGGTCTCAGTCTCCTTTTGTGTCTCCTTCCAGCTCTTTAGCTGCCTCAGCAGCAGCAAAAGAAGCAAAAGCTGAAGCCTTCTGGCAGCAGCTGCCCACCGGCTGCAGAGCCCCACAGCTAGGCGCGGGCACTGGCTAGCTGTGGCTAGCTGTGGCTAGCTGCGGCGAGCTAGCTGCGGCGAGCTGTAGCTAGCTGTGGCTAGCTGTGGCTAGCTGTACCTAGCTGTAACTAGCTGTAGCTAGCTGTGGCTAGCTGTGGCTAGCTGTGGCTAGCTGTACCTAGCTGTAGCTGGCGTCAGCTAGCCACAGCTAGCTGTAGCCAGATGTAGCTCTCCATAGCTAGCTGTAGCTAGTGGTGGCTAGCTGGGGCTATAGGTGGCTAGCTGTAGCTAGCTACAGCTAGCTGCGGCTAACTGCAGCAAGCCGGGCTAGCTGCTGTTAAGGGCAGCTAGCTGCAGCTAGCTGTGGCAAGGCGTGGCTAGCCGTAGCTAGCTGCAGCTAGCTGCAGCTAGCTGCAGCTAGCTGCAGCTAGCTGCAGCTAGCTGTGGCTAGCTGCGGTGTGCAAGGCAGTGCAGCTAGCCAGGTAGCTGCAGCAGCAGCAGTTCTTGAGTTGAGTGGCTTTGGCTGGCAGCTTTTAGTGACAAGAGTTTCTCTTATTTATATCTTAATTGTTTATCTCTTTATTTATTTTTCTTTTTATTTATTTGTCTCTTTATTTGTCTTTTTATTATTATCTTTTGGCTTCCTGGAGAGGCACCAGCAGCTGCAGCAGCAGCAGCAGCAGCCGCACTGCAGCAGCAACGCGAGGGCAGCAGCAACAGCAGCGCAGCAGCAAACACACAAAAATGCAGCAGCAACAGCAGCAGCAGCTGCTGCTGCTGCGCTGCAGCAGCGCAGCAGCGCTTTTGCTGCAAGGCCGCCGGCGGGAGAAGCAGTTGCAAATCACATAAAGTGCATTTCTTTGTTTTAAATTAATATTTAATTAAATACATAAAAAGTAATTTTTCTGTTTCTGGTTTGTCTGAAAGCAAAAAGAAAATCTGCTGCTGCGTTGAAATGAATTCTGAGCTGTACGTACACCGCAGCAGTGTCGATTTCACTCGTCTGCGAGATCTTCGAAGTCGACCAGAAATGCTTTTGTGGATTTAATTCATTTAATTTGATTTATAAATTCCACAAAGTATTAAATAGAGTGAAATATTTAAAAAGAATTTCCGGGAAAGAGCGAATTAAATGGATTTTCGGTCCGGGCTTTCCAAGCGCCGTTTTCAGTTTTCCGAATTTCAACTTCTGCCATTTTCGCGCATTTTGCATTTAATATGTTTTAAATTCAATCTGGGTGCCAATATAATTCATATTTGCATTTAAATATATTTTTTAAATTCACTTTTTGAGCGATTTGGTTCCTTTTCAAAAGTGCAACTCCGCCGCTGGCTCGAGACTCGGGTGTACGTACACCTCAGCGCCGCGGCGAAACAGAACACTTCCTCCGCGGGAAGAAGTCCATTTTGTAGCCTTTTGTTTCTATTTTTGAGAATAAAACCCGAAATATTTATTCTAATTTATTTTATTAATTCAAATTAAATCAAAAGGCTCATTGCTAGAAATTAAAACTGCCCGTAGAGAAGCCACACCAACCCAGGGGCCCCCTGGGGGCCCCCGGGGGCCCCCGCGGGGGCCCCAACAACCGCTGCAGCGGCCGTGGGGGCCCCTGTGTTGCAGCAAACAAATTAAATGTTTAATATTTCGGAAAGACGAATTTAAAAGCATTTTAAATCTGTTGGTTTCATTCCGTTTCAAGGAAGCGAGCCCGTGGGGCCGTTGGGGTGTATGTACACCCGGCGCTTTCGGCCAGCATTCTGTGAGCGCCGCTTTCCATTTCATTTCCGAACTTCTGCAAACAGCTGCAGCAGCAGAGAGCCTCCATTTTGCTGCTTCTGCTGGTCTCAAGTCTCGTAGTTGCAAGCAGCAGCAGCAGCAGCAGCAGCAGCAGCAGCAGCAGCAGCAGCAGCAGCAGCAGTTTCTTTGTCTGCTTCAGCAGAGACTCGCTGTTCTTGCTTCCTCCACTGCATCCGCTGCAGCAGCAGCAGCTAATTTCCGTCGCTGCTGCTGCTGCTGCAGCAGCTACTCGGCGGCGCTGCAGCGGCAACTCTGCGTTGCAGCTGCTGCTGCTGCTGCTGCTGCTGCTGCTGCTGCTGCAGCAAGAGCAGCAGCTCCCCGTTTGCAAGCAGCAGCTAAAGGCGTTTTTGCGGCCTCAAGGGAAAATGGTGTTTACCTTCAAGAGTTCAAGTAAGGACTTAAATTCAATTCAGCTTTTATTTAATTACTTATTACCATTACTATTCACTCTTAATTATTTCACCATCAATTATTATTATTATTATTATTATTATTATTATTAATTATTATTATTATTATTATTTATTTATTATTATTATTAATTTATTGTTATTATTAATGTTAAGTGGAGTGTTCCTTGTTGACTGAATATCGAATGGCAAATGAAGAGGCGCAGCTAGCTAGCTGCTTTTTCACTTCCTTTGAGCTAGCTGTGAAGCAGCTAGCTAGCTAGCTAGCTAGCTAGATGCTTAGCAGCTAACTCAGCTAGCTAGCTGTTCGCTCCTTTCCCCTGCACTAGCTGTTAAGCAGCTAGCCAGCTAGCTAGCTAGCCACCCGGCTGGCCAGCTAGCTAGCTAGCTAGCCAGCTAGCCAGCTAGGTAGCCAGCTAGCTAGCTAGTCAAGCACCTAGCCAGCTGTTCGGCCAGCTAGCCTGCCAGCTAGCCAAGGAGCTAGCCAGCTAGCTAGCTAGCTAGCTAGCTAGATGGCTGGCTAGCGGCGGGGCGCAGGCTTGTGGGCTTTGCTGCAGCGCCTGGCTACGAACTTTATATGGGCCGAGACAAGTTCGAAAACGAAGATTTAATTACTTACGCTTTTCCAGAAGATGTTTGGTTTCATGTCAGTGAGCTCTCGAGCGCCCACGTCTACGTCCGCATGCCGTTTGGCCAAACAAGTGGGACTTCGATTCCAATTCCCTTCAAGTCCATTTTAATCCAAAAGTCATTAAATTTGAAATAATTCGAAATAAATTAAATGAACTCGAGGGGCAGCTGCAGCGTGAAAGTCTTAGCGAAAAAGCTGAAAAGGCGGCCGGGGGCGGGCCGCAGCTCGAGGGGCGTTTGGGGGGTTTTGCGGGGGAAAGCGGGCCAGTTGGGGGTTTTTGGAAAGCAAAATGAAAAACTAAGTTGCATTTGAATTCAAAAAACTCCGAAAGATCTTCTGAAGTGGAAGATCGGCGAAGTTCCGAAGCGCGGCGGGTGCAGCGCTGAGGTGTACGTACACCTGCGGAGCCGGCGCTTCCCGACTTGCAATTTTGCGGCGATCCGCGACGAATTGGGGGTCTTTTTTGGAGATTTTTGAATTATTTTGGAGAATTGTGAATTGTTTTGCATAATAATGCAGAATTAGAGCTTTTGTGGCGCGTTTGCGCTTCAGACTTCGAAGAACTGCCGGCGCAGGTGGTGGCGGAGGCGTGTCAGTTGACGAAGCAGAACTCGATCGAGGGCTGCAAGCAGTCGGAAGTGAAGATCGTGTACACCCCCGCGGCGAACTTGAAGAAAACTGCAAACATGGAAACTGGACAAGTGGGATTTAAGCAGCAAAGTTTGGTGAAGGAAGTGCAGGGAGTGAAGAAGGAGAAGGAGCTGCTGAAGGCGCTGGAGAAGACCCGCGCGGCGCCCGCCGTGGACTTGGCCGCGCAGCGACTCGCACGCGACCGCCGCGAGCGCAGCGAGCGCAAGGCCCGGCTGCAGCAGCAGCAGCAGCAGCAGCAGCAGCAGATAAAAGAAAGACAGGCCCGCAGGGAACTCCAGACTTTCCAGGCCCTGCAGCAGCTCAAGCCCCCCGAACAGTACAGGGGAGACGGATCCATTGGCAGCTGCAGAGAGATCGAAGAAGACTTCCTGTAGCTCCTGCTGCTGCTGCTGCTGCTGCTGCTGCTGCTGCTGCTGCTGTGTTTTTGTACATGTTTAGGTGCAGAGGTGCTCAACTTTGCTCACTTGAAACAATAAACTACATAGGAAATTACTGCAGCAACTGCTGCGCGGCGGAAGGTTCTGCTGCTGCTGCTGCTGCTGCTGCTGCTGCGCAGCTTTGCTGAGGCCCTGCTGCCTCTGGATTGCTGCTGCATTTATCAACTATTTAATTTGCTGCTTCTATTTGTGTTTTTATCTTTTCGCGCTGCTGCTGCACTCCCCAGCGGGGTGTACAGACAGCTGCTGCATGCAGACACAAGTGCCTCTTAGCAGCATTTTAAGAAGTTGAAAAGCAGCAGCAGCAGCAAATAAGGCTAAGAGAGAGTAAATGAGAAAGGCAGGAGAAGAGCTGCTGCAGCTGCAGCAGCTGCTGCTGTGCTGCAGCAGCAGGCAGCAGCGCAGCAGCAGCAGCAGCAGCAGCAGCAAGCGCGTGGGGTGTACGTACAGCCGGAGAGCTGCACGCGCAGAAATGCGAAGTGGGGAAGTCTAGACAGTCAGTTGAAATCTTTGCAAGTTGTTTCTTCGGAGCTGGGCCGAGCCCGCAAACCCTAAACCCTAAACCCTAAACCCTAAACCCTAGGCAGCGCGGGCGGCCGCGACACACACACGCCCGCGGGCCACAGAGGCCCCCCATGGGGAAGGCCTTTTGGACTTGTGTTAAAAAGGCTTAATTTTGGATTTGGGGGAAGTGGAAAAGGAGAAAAAGTGGAAAGTTGAATTAAAAAGAAAAGAGCTTCGGAGGAGGCGAGGGGCCCCGAAATGCAAAAAGAATCCGCGAAACTTCTCCAAGTTTCTTTTCAAATTCAAAAGAATCTGTTTTTAAAAGTTTGAATTCGTTCAATTTCAAGTTGGAAAGCTGGAAACTGAGGTGTACAGACACCGCGCGGCTGCAGGCTAGGCTGGTCTGTCTGCTCCGCCGCGATCGGCGACGGCCGTCATTTATCTTTTTTTGCGTTTTAAATTGAAACTGGCGGAATAAAAAGAAAAGTTTTTGTTTTTGAAGAGGATTTGGAGTGTGCGTTTCGGAATTCGAGGCAGCTTTCCACTCGGAGGCGCAGAACCCTGCGCCGCTCCGGCTAGGCTCCCGCGGCGGATCCGGCGGCGATCTAGCCACGGCGCGTCTTTTTCGCCGCCGAAAGAAAGCAATTTGAATTAAATAAACAGAATTTAATCCTTTAACGCTCATTTTTTTCTTTTTTTCGGAAAAAGAAGCCCCGGAAGGCTCTCTGGCTTGCGGGCAAAGTTCCGCGAGCAGCGAACTCTGGGGTGTATCGACAGCTGGCGCGTCGCAGTGCCTTTCTGCGTTTCAGTTTTCTTTTTCTTCTTTTCGCGCAAATTCAAAACTTTTCTTTCCGAACTTTCTCCCAAACCCCAACTGCCGACAGCCCGTGCTGCTGCTGCTTTATTTCCGCATTTTCTCTCAAGTTCAACTCCAAGTTTCTTCCCCCGGCCTCTCCCCTGCTGCTGTCTTGGAGCTTTCTGCTGCTGCTGCTCGCTTTGCTGCAGCGGGAGCTCGTGCTGCAGCAGCAGCTCGCGCCCTGCGCCGCCGCCCGCCCGCCCGCGCCAAACCCTAAACCCTAAACCCTAAACCCTAAACCCTAAACCCTCGCCGCAGCAACCCTCTCTAGAATGCCTTAACCCTACAATGGACACAAAACCCCCAGACCCACTCCGAAGGGGGGCCTCTTTGTCTCCTCCTTGTGACTCTCCGTCTTTGCAACTTTTTAATCCTCTTGTCGATTCTTCTTTGCAAAAAAGCGCAAGTTCCCTTTCCGGCACTTTAAGGGGGCCCCCCCTGTACCCTGGGGCCCCCCAGGGTACAGGGGCCCCCGGGGGCCCCGGGGGCCTCGGGGGCCCCGGGGGCCTCGGGGGCCCCGGGGGCCTCGGGGGCCCCGGGGGCCCCGGGGGCCTCGGGGGCCCCGGGGGCCTTGGGGGCCCCCTGTACCCTGGGGGCCCCGGGGCCCCCGAGGGGCCCCCGGGGCCCCCGGGGGCCCCCTGGCGGCGGCTGCTGACTTACAGCGACTCGGACTGGGCCCGGGGGGACAGCAGCAGCTGGGGGGCCCCTGCTGCTTGTGCTGCTGCTGCTGCAGTTGTGCCTCTGGACTGCAGCTACGAGCAGCTGGAGCAGCAGAACCGTGCTGCAGCAGCAACTGCAGCAGCAACTGCAGCAGCAACTGCAGCAGCAACTGCAGCAGCAGACAGACCCCAAAGAACTGCAAACAGAGGATGGAGGGACTGGGGCTGGAGCCCTGTCCCTCTCTTTTTCCAGAAAACCCTACTTACAGGAACAGGCAAGCCTCTAGGGTTTAGGGTTTAGGGTTTAGGGTTTAGGGTTTAGGGTTTAGGGTTTAGGGCGTTGAGGCCACGGTGGCTTTCGCTGTGTGCGGCTTCTGCGGCTGCTGCTGCATGCACTTGAGCGAAGTGTAAGTGTGCTGAATTGCTTTTGTCTTGGCATTTGCTTTTTCTTGAACACAAGGGTTTAGGGTTTAGGGTTTAGGGTTTAGGGTTTAGGGTTTAGTGTCCATGAGTGGGACTTGGGGTTTAGGGTTTAGGGTTCCTTGAATTCGTTTTTTTTGCGTTTAAGTTCGGGTGTGCGTGGCGCTTAGCGCGTCGCGCGTCGCGGGCTTAGGGTTTAGGGTTTAGGGTTTAGGGTTTAGGGTTTAGGGTTTAGGGTTTAGGGTTTAGGGTTTAGTGGGGGTTTAGGGTTTAGGGTTTAGGGTTTAGGGTTTAGGGTTTAGGGTTTAGGGTTTAGGGTTTAGGGTTTATGCAGGGCGCGGGAAACACCCCCGCGTTGGTGAACAGTTTGTTGACTTCGCTGTGCAACATTTCGCCCTTCTTTAGGGTTTAGGGTTTAGGGTTTAGGGTTTTAGGGTTTAGGGTTTAGGGTTTAGGGTTTAGGGTTTAGGCTGCAGGGGCGCTGCCTTCGCGGGCGTTGGGCTGCTGCGCGGGCGGCTGGGGTTTGTGTTTGTTGTCTTTTCGAGACACTGCAACAGAAGAGAAGTACAGGAGTTTGAGATTGGCAAAACATATTCGATTAACTTTATTTGTTTCTTTTCTTTTTCTTTTTATTATTGCTGCTCTTTTTCCCGTGGCTCTTAGGGTACTGGGGGCCCTGGGGGCCCCCCCCCCGGTGACCCTGGCCTTCTCTGGAGGCGCAGCAGCACTTTTTGGGGCTTGGACAATGCATGCGCTGCTTGTGACTTTTCGCAAAAGAATTAAAGCTTCCGATCGAGCTCTTCTCCATCTCACCAT